AGAGGCTCAAAGCCACTGGGGCCGGGCCAAGTCCTGCCTTCCTGGCTCCTCCTCCAGCCCCCAGCGCTGATTCTAATAAAGCTGTTGATTAATACCCTAAATGCAATCGTGGCCCTTAGGAAGCAGGAGACTGTCCTCCTTGGAGGAGCTGTGTGGGCCCCCAGCTGGTGCACAGGAGCAAGGGGGTGTGCATAGGCTCTCCAGCAGCCAATGGGGGCGCCGGGCAGGGGTTCTGCTCCACAGGTGCCTCAAGAGCCAGAGCACCCAAGGGAAGGGGGGGCGTCAGGGCCAGCCCCTCCTCCCATACTGACACGCAAAGGCACTGGGGTGAGGGGAGGGGAGGGGAGGGGAGGCCCCCCAGCTCTCAGCCTTCTGTGTCACACCGGCATCGGCATCTCGTTGTACTCGTCCACGCCTTCTCTCTCATCCAGGATGGGCTCTGCCTCTGCTGCGTCCAGCTGGAGGGCAAGAGACGTGGGCAGTGGGTTTTGCCACCTCCAGCGCCAGCCGTTCCCTGCCAGAGTGTCCGACTCCCTGCCCCCACCCCCCACATCTGCAGTCCCCGTCCAAACTTACACACTTCATCTCTCGCTCTGTGAAGATGCGACCGAGCAGGCACAACCGGAGCGGCACTGTGAGGATGAGGATGAACGGGAAGGCCAGCGAGGCGACGGTGGACATGACAGCCCAGAGCACGGCCAGGCAGGCCAGCTGCAAGAGCGTGAAGAGGTGCATGCGCGCCGTTCGCACCTGCAGAGGAACAGGAAGCTGCACTGGGCACGCCCCCCTGCGCCCTCTCCCTTGGCTCTGGTGCCAGCGATGCCACGACACCAGGGGAAGGGGAGGAGGCCCATGGTTGGATCTCATGCCATCCGCCACCCTGGGAGTCCTGGGGGGCGGCACACAAAACATCCCTGGCCGGGGCCCCCATAACCCGGTCGGCTGCGTTTGCACAACTCACGCTGCTAGTGTAAGGAGGGCTCCCCGGCCGGCAGGCCGGGCCCCTAGAGCTGGTGGCACTTAACCAGCGTCTCAGGGCAGACGGCCACAAAGGCACCAGCTGCGGTTTGGCCTAAGGCGCCCCGTGACCCCGTCCACGGGTGGACCCAATAATTAGCTCTGGAAGGGAAGTCCTGTCAAGCTCAGGGGCAGCGGGCAGGTGCAATGAGGGCTGCGGCTTGTAGGGCAGACCTCCCTCCATCTCATTCCTGATGAAGCCCCTCGTAAGGCCTCCCCTGGGGCGTGTGGCCAGGCAGCGGCCACAGCGGCGTCCAGCGCAGGGAGGGGAGCCGGCCGCCTGCTCATGTCCCAGGCCTCCCGCAGAGGCAAGGGAGCGCTCCCTTCGTCGCCCTCCCTGCAGGGCCCGAGCTGCCTGGGCGGAAAGGCCACGCTCCCCCGCGCTCCCGGCCTGACCTTCTTGACGTAGGGCACGTCGGGGTGATGCTTGGGGGGCATCAGCAGCAGGTGCAGGCGCTCGTAGAACTGGATCCCATTCAGCGAGGTGACTCCCATGTAGAGGAAAATGCCAAACAGCACTGCCAGGGGGATCCTGCGCAGCAGGTCCCCGATCACGATGGACAAGCCTGGAGTGGACAGGAATGGCACTCTGGTCTCTGGGCCCCCTGAGCGCCAGGCGGGGGCTGCCGGCCCTTGCCAGCAACTCAGAGGCCTCCAACCGGCCGCGGGGGGAGGGCCGAGGCTGTGCCGGCCGCGGCGGGAGGAGGGTCAGGGCAGAACAGCCAGCCGTGCGAGTCCGCCTCCCTCGTCAGCGAAGGCAGCCAGCCGGCAACTCACCCACAAGGATGGCCACGAGCAGCCCGGTGACCCGCTGCTCCTTCACCTCCTGGATTTTGGGCTTGTCCCCCGGGGCCACGGCCTTGCTCATGACGGTCAGCGCATTGGCGTGCGTGACGGAGCGCACCGTGGCGGCTGCCAGCCAAGGCAACCCGAAAAGGGCACAGAAGCCGCCCATCGCGACGATGAGCAGGAGGTCCAGGTGGAAGCCGGAGCCCTTCTGCAGTTTCCGCTCCTTCTTGCTGATGATCAGCCTGGGGGACAAGGAGGCAGTGGTTGGGGGGCTCCTCTCCAAGCGCGTCCCATGCTGAAAAGCGGAGCCCTTGGCCAGCACTCACGTGGTGATTTGTGTCTCCATGAAGATGAGGATGAAGACAAGGACTGCCGGGAGCACGCTGGCCACCATCATCCACACCGGGAACGCCTGGCTGCTGCCCAGAGGGTTCACCACCCAGCCCCGCTTGCTGGGGTCTGTGACTGAGAAGCCGCGAGGCACTGAAAGTTTCTGCAAGGGGGCGGGAGAAAAGAGCTGGGCCTGGAGGCCGAGGAAAACCAGGAGAAGGAAGCAAGGGCTGGGCGGGAGATGGGCCCAACCTGCTGCCCCTCCTCAGGACCGGTCATGGAATGGCCGGAGCCTCGCCTCCCCTCCCCTCCCCTCCCCTCTCAGCTGGACTCACGGAGAGCCAGCCACTGGGGCCGGAATGGCTGCACCTCTCCTTCCCTGCTGGGAGCCTGAAGGGGACCCCAGACATCCCTCCAACTTCCTACCTGAGTGTAAGTATCCTGGATGCTGGAATCCACCAGCACCATGATGAGGATGGCAATGGGCACCCCAAAGTCACCGATCACCCGCCGGACCTGCCCAGAGAGACTTGCTCAGCCACGGGACTCCCACAAAATGTGGGGTCTCTGAGGTGGGCGGCGCGGCCTGCCTCCTCCCTCGCAGCCACGGCTTCCAACTCGCTGAGACATTCTTCCCTGGCTTTGGCTCAGGGTCCCCCCACCCCAGGTCCCCTGGCAGAAGCCACGCACCCGCCCGGGAAAGAAGCGGCTGTTCTTAAACTTCCTCAGGAAGAAAGCAATGAAAAACGTTCCGGCCATGAGCACCAACGAGAGGAGCGCCGTGTTGGGCTGGCCGGTCATGTCAGAAGAACCGCGGCTCACTGTCCCGTTCTCTGCTCCCAGAACGCTGGTCTCGGCCAGGCGGCTGCTGGTGCTGTTCCTGCCGTGGCAGCCGTGCAGAGGATGCTCCTGGAAGATCTGCCCAGAAGGAACGTGTGGGGGACGAGAGACTCTTCAGAAACCTCAGCCCCAGGTGAGAAGCGCATTGCAACACCTCTGCAGCGGTGGCCCCCACAGTTCTTGGGGCTGCCAGCCCCTTTCTGGGTGGCCTACCTGTTTTTCAGACCCTGCCCCCCACAGTGCAGCCATTCTCGCCCCCCCCCCGGCCCCAGTGGCTGGCTCGCCGTGAGTCCAGCTGAGGGGGGAGGGGAGGGGAGGGGAGGACAGGCTCTGGCCGTTCCATGACCGGTCCTGAGGAGGGGCAGAAGGCCTGCCTCCCGCGGCCATGGCAACCAACTCTCCTCCTCCACCTCTCAGTCACCTTGATCAGCTTAAAGAAGGTCTCGTAGATGAAGATGAGGGAGATGAGGAAGGCGAAGATCTCCTGGGTGAAGCGGGAGACGAAGCGCACCAGGAAGCTGCCCTCAAAGGCCACGATAGTCAGCACAATCAGTATGAGCCAAAAGCCGATCCAGGCACGGCCTACCAGGTACTCCAGGCCATGCGACGTGCAGAACTGGGCGTGGGGAAATGGACCGAGGCTCAGGAGACGGCGGTCCAAGGGCCGTGGGTCCCCCTTCTCGGGAGCAGTGCAGGTGGGGTGAGCAGCTCTAAGCCCAGCCTCCAGGCTGGGGAGTCAAGGGGCACCCCTCACCCCGGCTCCCGAGGGGTGGAGAGTCGCCCAAGGCCCCCGGGCACCAGTGCACATCTCCCGCCTCCCGATCTATTGGACGCGGCAGAGAAGACGCCCCTCCCCTGGCAAATCCAAAAGCCCTCAGGAGCAGCTGCCAGTTTGGAAGGCTGCCCCAAACTCACCGTGAAAAAGGCTTCCTCGAAAACAGGAGGGGCCCCGAGAAGCCGATGACCAGCAGCGGCTGAGCCCCCAGGAGGCAGAAGAGGACGCCCTGCACGGCGGTGGAGACGATGAGCTCCGAGACGCCAATCAGCCCCTCGGTCTTCTCGCCTGCAAGAGATGGGGCGGGGAGCCAGGGCTCAGGGGAGCACCCACCCCACGGCTTCCCTCCCTCACGCCCGGCCCCAGAAGCCCTCAGGCCAGCACCAGGCCAGCAGAGGGGTGGGGGGGCTTCCGTCCAGGCAGAAGCGGGTGGGCCCTGCCCCACGCCTCGCTGTGCTCTCCTCTCCTCCTGGCTCACCCAGCAGACCCCCAAAGGTGATGGCAGGCGAGAGGGCAGCGAAGTAGATGAAAATGACAGCCGCCAGGCACTGGGGGTCCAGGGCGTCCCGGAAATCGCTGAGATACTTCGGGTAACGCCGACGGACATCCCGGATCAGACCCCCAAAGGGGCGGCCGGTGCGTTGAAGAGGGTCAGCCTCTGCCTCCTCTTCCTCCTCCTCCACCTTCAGCTTCAGCAGTGCTGGCGGGGCAAACAGGAATCAGTGGGGGCCTTCCAGGAACCCCACATCCCATCGGCAAGGGGGCCAAATATGGCTAATCAGCCCTTGCCATTCTCCAGAACAGGGCTTATTTTGCTTTGTGCCCTCATAAGACACAAGAGGCGCAGGAGCCCCCCAGATGGTGAACAACGGCTGCTGAGATGCCAGAACGGAAGCAGTACATCACCGGGTAAGACCAGATGGGGCTCCAGGCAGAGAGCCCCCAAGCCCCCACCCACTCATCAGCCCCATCTCCTCCTCTGCGCAGGTGCAGGCTATTCCCGCCCTCTCAGCCTGGCGATTCTGTGCCAGCAGGGCCGCTAGCCTTCCTGGCCACGGAGCTCCAACTTTTCCACTGGCTGCCTAAACTGAAGGCTGTTGTCCTATCTGAACTAAGTGAATTCGCAAGTCAAGGTTGTGCAAGCGCTCCCCACCCAACTGGGCGGTGGTCTGAATCAGGGCAGAACTCCTCTCTCACGCTGAGAGCGAACAGAAGACTTCACAGGTCTTCCAGACAGGAGCATAAAAACAGAAGCCGTGCCCTGCTGGACAGGAACCCCGGCCGCCCAGTCCAGCCCTGTGTCCTCCGAGTGGCCACCGGCTGCCCAGGAAAGGAAGCCCACCGGTCTCCCAGCAGATGGTCTTCAGAGGCAGGTCTGAGCCATCAGGTCTAAGATCTCCAGGAACTGCTCCAACCCAAGATGGTGGCCAGCACTGCGCCTCGTGGTAGTGAATTCCAGAATTTAAGTGCGTATTGCGTCAAACAATTATCTCCTTTTTTTCTGTCCTGACGATTCCTGGATTCAATTTCACTGGGCAACCCCTGGTGCTAGTACTCTGGGAAGGGGGAAATGGTTTGGCTTTCTCCACACTGCACATAATTCAATCACGTCCCCTCTCGTTCACCTCCATTCTAGACCAAAAAGTCCCAAACCTGCAACCTTTCCTCACGAGGAAACTGCTCCAGCCCCTGGATTCTCTTAGCTGCCCTCCTCTGGACTTTCTCCAACTCCACTATATCCTTTTTGCGGTGCAGCAACCAGAACTGCACATAATATTCCAGATGCGGTCGCACCACTGGTTTATCTAAGGGCACCAGGATATTGGCATCTCTATTTTCAATACCATTTCTCATTATCCCTAATAGGCTGTGTCATTTTACAGCGGATGCATGCTGCGTTGACACCGTGATTGAACTGCTTACTGTGACTCCATGATCTCTTTCCTCATCGGTCACTGCTAGCTCTGATCCCACTGGTTTAGATAAGAGTTTATCACAGTCACAGACATTAAAAAACATTAAGGAAAAAATAAGAACACAAAACAGGATAAGAATGTTACAACTGGTGTTAGACAGAGCCTGTCGAGTTTTACAGGCTACATAAAAGAATTTGCCTATGTTCAAGGAAACCAAATAATACAGATTTGATAACAATAACTAAAAATATCAGAATACCTCAGGTGTTGTAGCAGGTAAGGAGTTATAAACGGTCCTAGGATCCTTATAGAGGGCACAGTAAACAGGACATGAGCTGCAGGATCCCACAGGTTTGTATGAATACTTTAGGATTTTTGGCACCAACGTGCATCGCTTGATCGCATTAAATGACATCTCCCATTTTGGCGCCCGCTCTCCTAATGTGCAGAAATTCCTTTGGAGCTCTTCGTAGTCCCTTCTACTTTCTACCAATCTGAACAATTTAGTGTCACCAACAATCTTGGCTATTCCACTAGTCATGGCCCCACCTGACCCCAGGTGATTTCTTAAGGTTATTATTATTATTAATGAAATTTGTATGCCACCCGAATTTTTAGATATGTTAAAAAGCACCAGTCAAGGGACAGAACCTTGGGGGGCTCCACAAGTTAGATTGTGAGAAATGTCCAGATGAACGACAGCCGAGTAAAAGAAGGTCACCTTAGAGATCCCTACCTGCCACTGTGAGGGAGTGAGGTGGGGTTCCTGCCTGTGCCTGGGGAAAGAAGCTGCAGCCAGGCAGAAACGCTTCTCACCCCAACGTTACCCAGACACATCCAACCAAGCCTGTCATTGCTGAGCCCCACCCTGGCGTTTTCAAGGTCCCGCCTATGTCCAGAGGCAGCCTCGCCCCACCCAGGCTCTTAGCTTACAAAAGCAAAGGCTAAGACAGGGTGTGGGTGGGTGTGCAGGAGGAAAGGAAACGGCCTACAGACAGGCAAGTCTGGAGATCGGCAGCTACTGCAGGCAGGCAAGAGGACGTCGCTCAACGGCCAGGACCACAAGCTGTGGCGAGCAGTACATCCTGGTGAGGATCCTGCCGGGAGCTTTGCCGGGAGCTTGGTGGCAACTAGAAGAGGAACCACCACACGAAGAACGCCCCTCATCCCAACTAGTGCCAGGACAGTTGGAAAAAGGCAAAGGTTGTATGCTACTTTATAGACTTTGAGACTTTTGAATGAGCTAAATATCAAAGGGCTGAGTCTTGAAGACTATTTACGTGGCAACAGCAACTTGCAAGTCCCAGATGGGTGGCGGTGGCCCAGAGCGATAGCCTGTTGCTGGGAAGGCGGGCGCTGCAATGGAGCATTGCACAGAGATTTGCCACGCTGTGGTGCGCCCAGTCCTCGGACAGCAAGGCACCCTCACAGGCATGCCGGGCCGGGCCCCCCACGCTGACTCATGCTGCTCGAAAGGCAGCTCCCTGATCCGGCCGACGCAGAGGCAGGAGAGCTGGCCTGGCACCCTCCTCTCTGCCTACCTTTCTCCTCTGGCGATTTGGGCTCCACAGGGGCCCCTGCTAGCAGGCGGCGCTCCTGCTCCTCCCTCCGGCGTAGCATTTCCCGCTGGAAGTGCGCCACGCTCCGCAGCAGCTCCTCCCCCTGCACTTCGGAGGGGGGCAGGACCACACTGCAGTCCAGGAACTCGTTGATGGCGTTGAGCAGGTCGTGCCGATCATCAGCCAAGTAAGCCGCCTCGTGGAATTGCTGCGGACCGCAAAGGGGCCAGCTGCAGACGGAGGTGCTCCAAGGCCACCTAGGGAGGCTTGGGGGGCCGGGTCCCAGGAAGGGGCCCGGGGCCTACCTTGTCAGACATGAGGGTGGAAATGGAGCGCCCGATCTCATGGTAATCCATGTTGGCGCTGCTTGGGCCCAGTAGCACGAAAAGGAAGCGCACCGGAACAGGAACCTCCAGGACAGCCTCCAGCTGGGCGGCTTCCTGCAGCCGCACGAAGGCCATGGTGGGCTGGTCCAGGAATTCCACGCAGCCTGCAGGGAAAAGCGTGCCGTGCCCGTAAAGACTGTGCCCTCCGGCCTCTCCAGGGCTGGAAGCATCTTGGACCCAGCCACCCTCCCCACATTTGCTTACCCACAAGCACCACGGTGGCCTCTGCATTGTCTGGGATCTTCTCCAGCAATTTCAGCTCGTGCTTAGACTTGGAGCGTGTGATGGTGCCAGGCAGGATAGGGGACAGGATCTCCTTCTGCAGGGGGACAAGGGGGTCAGGGTGGGCTGCGGACTGCCTTCAAACCCCTCCAGCTGATGCCGCTCTGCACCCCTCGGCCTTCCCCAGCACCATAAACTACTTCCCTTCCAGCAGGAACCCTGTAACGGGGTGGGGGAATGGCAGGGCGCCCATGAGCGTCCACCTGTTTCCAGCCTCTCTTGAAACAAAGCCACGCAACCAGTAGCTGCAACCTTCCGCCAGAGACCAAGTAACCCTCTAATCATAACAGCACCCCTACTCTAACCCTAACCCCGGCCTCCTGTGTGCTGAATCCCGCCATATCACCTCACTGAAATGTTCTGCTGGGACTGAAACCTTTCCTGTTCCACTTTGCCACGCCGGCTGGATTTTCTACAATCAGCATGAACAGGAAACAAATGCAGCTGAACTCAACTTGTGGCCCATGATGCATGCGGGAGTCATCCCTGCTGAAGCCACCCACTGAGGAGGAGCTTGAACCCACCTCCCTGACATGGCCCCCCACATCTCATCATCCATCACAATTCATTTATTCAGACGGCCACTGTCTGTGGTTTTGAACCTGGGTCTCCGTGATCCTACTCCCGATTAGACAGCCTCTCACAACTTGCTTCTTCATCCACTCCCAGGTTAACTCCACCACCTCTTCTTCGCTAGAAGGTCAGCTCACGTGCCTGGAGTCCAAAAGTGCCCCACAGCAGCTCCTCTCCTTCCCCAACTCTTTCTGAACAGTACCGGGGTCTCCTCCTCACCCAGTCGTCATTTGAGCAGATGGCATCTCCGGAAGCTCACCTCCTTTTCAATGTCCACCCGTGTCTCATGCTCACCCACATGGCCAATGAGTGGATCAGTGACAGTGGGCTCTGTGCATTCTCCAACGTGGTTGGCACTATGATGGTGGCCCAGCAGAGAGCCGAGCGACCCAGCTGAGATATTGCGAGGGAAGGAGAACTCCTTCTCATCCGAGGGGTGGCTGCAGAAAAGATCACCTGCACGTCAAGCTCTACGTTCGGTGAAATCCGCCACGCCCCTTGGCAGCACGTCAGTCTGCCAACAGAATTGGTGGAAGAAAGAGGGGCATCGGGGGAAACTTGTGGGCCAGACGGGGAATCCTCATGGTCCAGGTCCTTCGGCTGGGTCCAAGGAAAAACTTGTTGGGCGATGGGGAAGTTTCAGATCCTTGCTCTCTCTCCCTCCATCTCTTTGACCTTTGACTCAAGGGGTTATTCCCAACACACTCACCTATGCTTAAGCAACAGTGCCCGCAGCACGTTGGCACGATCCTCGGCACGAATCTGGTCAGAAATGATCATCTGCTCCACCACTTGGTGGGCCACTCCTGGCAGCGTCTTCTGATCCAGGTCGAGAAGGACAGCCCCTGCAGGTAGAGAGGACAATGGATGGAGGCGCGCTCTCGAACAACCTAAGAACAACCGCACGCACTGCCCTGCTGCCACAGGTCCCACGGTTCTCTGGGTGCAAAGGCACGGTGCCTTTGACGGCCCTCAATGGCAGCGGGGAGACTGCTGTCCGCCTGCGTCCACTGGCTGTCCCCTGAGCCCCGTGGAAGTAATCCTTCTGGCCCTGGACGTCTAAACCGATTCAAAGCAAACTAAGACCCCGACCACCTTTCGATCACCCTCAACCCTCACTCCCACTCCCCCCACAATCGCCGGGTGGGCCAAGCGCTCCCTCGCTGGAGAGGCCGCAGCCAGAGAGCCGAACGGCCTCTGCCTCTGATCCCAGAGCCCCGGGACCTGGCTCCGCTCTTCTCGTACCCGCTTGCAGGAAAGCCGCACCGAGCCCAGCAGAACAAACCGCTCTTCCCAGAGAAGCCCCAGCAAAGCCCCACTTCCTTCCGCTCCGTGGTTTGGCTTAGCTTTTTTTAGTCTAAGGCTCGGCGCTAACAGAGCCAAGTGCAAAAGAGCTCCTCCCCCGGCCCCACCTAAAACGGGGCCCCTTGCAAACGCACATAGGCAGGCCTTTTGATCAGTATGGCAAAGGGAGCAAGAAGGAAGGCCTGCGCCAAGGCCCCCTGGATCCAGAACTCTCTGGGAGCGCAGAAGGCCTCACCTGCTCCGGGAGTAACGCCTGAGCCGCGGGCCCAGAGAGCAGCGCCGCTGCCCGGGAGGCCTGGCCCAGCCAGCCACCTCTTAACTGGCAGCAGGGCTCTGGTTGATCCCGGGAGGGGAAAACCAGGTGCTCCCTCTGCCCCGCTCTACCACCCAGGGTGGCAGCCCCACTCCCCCTGTGCAGCCAGGGTGGCAGCAGGACATCCCCCTGCCCAATCTCCTACCATGGGAGAGGGTCCTGCGCAATTCCAGCAGGCTTCGGAAGGAGAGGGAGGCCACGTGGGGCTTGCCCCAGCGATCGGTCTCCTCCTCCACGTCCTCCTCAAACTTGATCCAGCGCGCCGTCTCCCTCCACTGCATCTCCTGGTTCTTGTCCACGATGAGTTCGTTCAGCTCCACGAAGACCTGCGCCAGAGAAGACAAGAACGATGCTCGGAGGAGCAGAGCTGGCAAACCCCTAGATCCGGACCGGATCAAAATATCTTGAGACCAAGCAAGATCCAGAACTCTCCGGGAGCGCAGAAGGCCTCACCTGCTCCGGGAGTAATGCCTGAGCCGCGGGCCCAGAGAGCAGCGCCGAGAATAACTGTGTGGGGGGAGCAAGGACCTCTGGAGCACTCCAGACTGAGCTCCCCACCAGGTGGGTGTCAGAAAAAAACCTTCCCTGAGCAAGGCCACCTCCCCTGGCAGCCACAGAGGGAGGCAGAGGACGCGCCTTGCCTCGCCTACCAAACGAATGGGCAGGCTCGCTCATCCTCTCTGTGCAAGCGTGACGGTGCACAAGAGCTGCAACGGGCCCTTCCTCCTGGGAGGCAGGCACGCGCCGGGCAGGTAGACCCGTGGCCTGTGGAAGGCGGTTCTCAGGAGGTCCCTGAGACCAGTTGGCCTGAGCAGCATCGAGGGCCGACAGCCTTCCAGCCTTCCAGAGTTTCCAGGACAAGCCCATCAGATGGTGCTGCGGAGCGGCACGCAGGAAGCTGATCCCCGCACCCAGAAGGCCCTGGACTTCTCACCCCTCTGCCAGCTCACCTCGTGAGGCGTCCGGTCCTGCTTGCGTAGCCGGGCACTGGCCTCCTGGCGGTCTCTGCCAAGGTGCACCACTTGTCCTTTAGTGCTCTTCCGGACCAGGTGCCTGCGCACTCCTGGCACGTCCTCAAACCTGTGGCCTGCAGCAGAGAAGCATGGGCCCTGAGGGGCGCATATCTTCCTCCTAAAATCCCCTCGCGACCAAATTGCCTGACAACAGACTCTGCTGTGGGTCTTCCGGGCTGTGTGGCCGTGTTCTGGAGGTTTTGTTTCCTAACGTTTCG